GGCGTGAGTGGACAGGAATAGTCGAACCCCAGATCAGCGCCCTAACTGAGATCAACATCGATGTCGGGGGCGCGGGGGTGATGTAGAATCTTCCTCGAATGTGGAAGGGTTCGAAGCTATTGTCTATCCACTGGAGTGCACGTCTCCGTTTGCCTGGTGAGGCCTGCCCTACAGTGGGGGCGCGCATCAAGAAGCCATATGCTATTCGTCAGGGTATCCTGGGTTTCTTCGTTCCTCGCGCTGCGCGGTGACTTCCCGCAGCCGTTGAAGGAGCTGCTGCGTTCAGGCTGCTCCGAGTTTCCCCTCAGGTGCACCTCGCGCACGGGTTCTCAGGGTTGGGTTTCTTGCGACGACTTCTTGCGGGTCGCGCCCACACTGTAGGGCCCCCCGGTAGCAAGGACGGAGTCAAGACCCTGAGGCTGCTCAATGAGGGAAAGGATCCGTCCACCAACCGAGTGGTGGGCAGGAGCTTCTGCCCCACCACCACCTAATTGAACTGCTTCTTTTCTTTCCAAACTATGGTTCACCGTGTTTCGTCTGGAGGCAGGCGTTCCGCAGCCTGAAAGAGCCTGAAGGAGGAGGACAATTAGGAGGAGGAGGTGGAGGAGAAGGAGGAGAGGAGCAGGATTTGGAGGAGTTGGACGAGGAGAGGAGGAGGGAAGTGGTTCCAGGATCATGGTTCCAGGGTCGTGGTTCAAAGATCGTGGTTCCAGGAGGGGAAAGATCGTGGTTCCAGGGTCGGGGGTCCTGGAGGAGGAGGAGGATCGGATGATGCGGGTGATGAGGCGGCGTCGTCGTCTGACCAAGGTCTGCTCAAGATCGTTTCCTGGGTCCCTTCCAGGGTCCGTGATGAGGTTTCTCGAGCTGCGCCCAGCCATGGCGACGAGGCCCTCCATAAACACCCAGTGCCTACGACATGAAAACATCGCCGACGTCGTCGTCGTCCTCGTCGTCGTCGCCGCCCCGTCGCTGTCTGGAGGTCTCCGAAAGTTGCTGGATGGCCCCAGAGGGCCACACATGACCAAGCACGCCCCCAAGCCTCTCTCCTCGAGCCGTCGCCGTCGCCGTCGCCGCCGCCACCGTCGCCATCGCTGTCGCCGTCGCCGTCGCCGTTCCAGCCGCCGTCGCCACCGCCGTCGCCTCCGTCGCCGTCGCCGCCGCCGTCGTCGCCGTCGTCGCCGCCGTCCGCGGGCGGTGGCCGCCGCCCCCGCCGCCGCCGCCGCCGCCGTCGCCGCTCCGCTGGGCGGCGGGCGGCCGCCGCAGCCCCCGAGGAGCTCCGCGCCCGCGCCGCGGAGCTCCGGGCGCGCGCCTCCGAGGTGCTCGCGTCCGGCAGCGTGGTCCCGCCGGGCGCCGGCGGGGCCCTCGGCGCGCCGCCGCCGCCCATAGGCGGCGGCGGCGACGGCGGCGGCTTCGGCGCCCGGGCGGCGGCGACACTGACGGCGGCGGCGGCGACGACGGCGACAGCGACAGCGACAGTGACGACGACGACGACGCCGCCGCCGCCGACGACGACCACGACGATGGCGACGACGACGGTGTTGACGACGATGACGGCGACGGCGACAGTGGCGATGACCATGGCGGCGGAGTCCTTGACGCTGCCGTTGCGGAGTTTTCGTGGTCGTCTGTTGGAGTCCCCGTCGCTACGGCAAGACGCGGCCCTAAAAGCTGGCCAGGCTGGACCCCAGGGGACCCAACGATTCTGAGCGGAGCTCAGTCGTGGGCGTAAGGAGTCCTCAGCAGGGCCCGGCAGGGCGCCGCGGAGGTTCCAGCTGGGAGGGCGCTGCGGAGAGCTCGGGAGGGCACCCAGGAGGGCGCTCACATTCGCCGATCCGTTGCACCTCCTCCTTCTCCTCCGCCACCGCCTCCTCCTCGTTCTTCTCCCCATCCTCCTCCTCCTCCTCCCTTCTCCTCCTCCTCCCTTCTCCTCCTCCCACTTTCTCCTCAGCTGCAGCGCCTTTACGTTTTCCGACCCCTCTGTCCGCCCTCTCTCCGTGTACCGCCGTCGACACTGTTCTTGCCCATGTATTTCGCTCACGCCGGGGATTGTGGCAGGGAATGGGCGGGCTTATGATCCGTGTGTTTCCTCGGTTCAATACAGGTCGCAAGCCTTTTCATGAGGAACTCGTCTTTTGTGCAGCGCTTGCACCCCCCGCGGGCGCTGCACATGTTTCCCACAATGAGTTGCACCTCTCTTACTTGCACGGCAGTTAACAGCTGCTCTAGACGCCATTGGCATTGTCTTGTGCAGGATGGTGATGACGATAATGCTGGCGAGGTGGGGGAGTATGATGGTGAGGAGGAGGAGGCGGAGCGGAGGAAGATAAAGGACTAATAATTCTATGATGAGACATTTTGACATTTAGAGGCGGGTGCGTAGCAGGAAGAGGAGGAGGAGGAGGAGCAGGAACGGCAACATCAGGAGGAACGCCAATTCACTGAGGCAAGCAGAGTGGGACTGATGACAAGGAGGGACAGGACGAGGAGGATGAGGGGAAGGAGGGGGGAGGAGGAGGATGAGGATAATGAACAGTTGGTGGTGTAGGAGGACGAGCAGAAGTAGATGGAGGGAACAATCATGAGAACGAGATTCATCCGGAGGGAGATGGAAGGCAACGATGGAGGGGGGTAGTGAGGCGTAGGAGTTGGAGCATGATTGTAAGGAGCTAGAGGCGGACTAGGCGGAGGAACAGTAGAGTGATAGCTAGGAGAACTGATCAGGGCGAATTGGGGGAACCATGCTGTATGATGTAGGAGAAACTTGGAATACAGAGGGGGATGAGAAGGGAGGCGTAGGACGAGGACAATGGAGGGAAGTATGATAACAATGGCGATGGCATGGAAGAGGGCAAGGAGGATAATGGGCTGGAGAGTGGAGAAGGCGAAGGGGAAGTTGGAATGTTAGTGCGATCGTGTGTGGGTGGTTGTGTGCGGTAGGGAGGAGCGGGAGGGGGATGATGATAATGATGAGGAGGAGGAGGAGAAGGACCAGTGTATACCCAAGACTCATCAACGATGTTGGGATAGACTCCCTCCAAGCTCACTCATCAGTGGCACCCACAAGGATTCATTTCAATTGAGGGAAGTGCCCCTTTGGGAGGCAACCGTTTGAAGACCCCGAAGCGTGCCAAAATACCACTCAGGGGACTCGAATGCCACGAATCAACCGGACTGTTGCGTCTTGACGATCCTGAGCCGTGCCAACACGCCATTCTGGGGACTTCAACACCGCGAATCAAAGCAACTGTTGCGGCCTGACAATCCAGAACCGCTCCAACACGCCATTTTTGGTATGTTGATTCTGGGAATCCGTGACACTCTTGTAAGTGTTTAGGACGAGTTTGCACGGCGCTACGGCGAGAGCCGTATTGTGAAAAGGAACCGCACTCAACCCGCGAAGCTCTTTGCAAATGTTTAGGACGAATATGCGTGGCGCAAAGGCGAGAGCTACATGATGAAAACGACCCGACCTCATCCGTGAAGTTTTCGCCGCAGTTTTTTTTTAAACGAATGTGCGCGGCGCTAAGGCGAGAGCCACAGTTTGAAAGCGGCCCGCCCTCGATCTGTGAAGCTGTCGCCACTTTTCAAGGAAGTCTCAGGCGAAACGCCCGGCCCGCCCTTCCGACTGGCCTCGGGGTGCGACAGGGAAGAGTTTATTTAAGTGGGAAAGGAATGGAGGAGGGTAGACATACGGAGGAGGGGACTTGAGAGACGGAGGAGGATGATGAGGAGGAGGAGGGATATGTGGAGAAGGTTGAGAGGGATTCCAGGAAGTAGCAGAAGGATCCGGAGGAGGATGAGGATGGGGAAGACGAAGATGAGTAGGAGGACGATGACGAGGGGGAGTACGACGTGGAGGATGTGACTACGACGGCAACGACGACGACGATGACGATGACGATGATGGTGATGCTGGTGATGATGATGATGATGCTAATGATGCTGATGATGCTAATGATGACGATGCGGCTGATGATGAGGATGCTGATAATGTCGATGATGATCATGATGCCGACGATGCACATGATGACGACAGTGATGAAGATGATGCTGATGATGATGACGATGATGATGATCACGATGATTGTGATGATGCTGATGAAGATGATGCTCATGATGATGCTGACGACGGTGATAATGATGAGATGAGGATGATTACAATGATGATGATGATGATGATGATGATGATGATGATGATGATGACGATGACTGTGATGATGCTGATGCTGATGCGGAGGATGCTGCTGCTGCTGATGATGATGAGGATGAAGATGATGAGGAGGATTATGATGATTCTGATGATGCATGATGATGATCATGCATATGATGATGCTGATGATGAGGAAGATGATGAGGATGAGGATGATGATGAGAATGATGGTGATGATGATGACGATGATTATGCTGATGATGAGGATGATGATGATTATGAGGATGTTGATGATGATGCTGATGCTGATGATACTGATGATGCTGATGCTGAGGATGACGCTGACCATGATGAGATGCTGATGACAATGATGCTGTTGATGAGGAAGAGGATGATGATGATGATGATAATGATGCTGTTGCTGATCATGATGATGGTGATGATGATGATGATGATGATGATGAGGATGATGATGATGCTGACGTTGATGATGATGTTCGTTTCGATGATGTGCTGCGGCTGATTGTGATGTACAGCATGATGAGGAGGTGGAAGAGGAAGTGGACGATGATGAGGAGGAGGAGGAAGGGGAGGATGATGATGATGAGGAGGAGGAGGAGGAGGAGGAGGAGGAGGAGGAGGAGGAGGACGAGGAGGAGCAGGAGGAGGAGGAGGAGGAGGAGGAGGAGGAGGAGGAGGAGGAGGAGGACGATGACGGCGAAGAGGAGGAGGCGGAGGAGGAGGAAGACGGGAGGAGGACAAGGAGGTAGGCCTAGTTAATGGGAGGAGAGACGGATAGCTTTTGCGAGCATTTGCGTGCGTCGCCGGGTAGCACGTGGCGCCAGCTGAGGCCCAGCAGCGGGCGCGCAGCCCACGGCCGAGGAGTCGAAGGCGGCCCCGAGGGAAGGGGGACGGTCAGCCTCAGAGCCGAAGCGCGCAGGTGGAGGGTAACGATGTTTTATTCCATTTTTAACCACACATGCTCAACCATCCTCATTGACACACATAGTTTCACATAGTTGTACATCAACGCATATCTATAGACAGGTGCAGCCACATATATCTATCTATAATATTCTATTTGTATAAGCCCGGGCGGGGGGAAAACCCGTCCCCCCCTCCCCCAAAACCGGACTCCCGGGATCTGGGGCTTTGGGCCCCTCCGGACGGGCCTCGAAGCGGCCCCCCGGGCCTCGCAGGGTGTTTCGCCAAGCCTTCCCAGCACCCGAAGACGGCCCCAGACGGGTTCCAGGCGTTCCGGCGCGCTCCCGAAACGACCCCAGAGAGCCCCAATACGGTCCACGACGACGCCCACGAAGCCGTCATACCCCCAAAGATCGCTCCGAAACGTCCCAAGAGGCCTCCAAGAGCACTCCCAAGAAGGACCCAAGAGGCAACAATTTGTGATTTTCCATTGTTTTTTGGTGAATTTTGGGGTTATCCTCAATTCGGCTTCCCGACGCTCCAAGACGGCGGTCTTCTGGGCGTCCGAAGCCGCTTGGGAGGCTCCAAAATCGCCCCACAACTATCCGAAAGGGATTCCGGCAGTCCAAGACAGCCCCAAAACGGCATAACCGAGGTGCAAGATGGCCCTAAGAGTGCCCCATGGCGGCCCAACATGGCCCGAAGACACACTCTGAAGCATTCCAAATCGTGACCCAGTCATTCAGGGAGACTGCGGTTGGAGGCAGGGTGGCCCGAGGAAGCCCCCAGAGGACCCCAGAAGACGCCCAGGAGGCCTCCAAAAGGCTTTGAGAAAGCCTGAGAAATTTTGTGAGGCCCCCAGAGGCTTTCCAAGGAGGAGCCTCCGCAACAAAGAACTGAGCAGGATGGGGAGAGTGCGCAGGGTATGGCGAGAATGAAGAAACAGAAGCATGGAGGAAGGAAAACGAACAACATTCTGATAACGACGATGCCGGAAAAGACAACAAGGAGCTATCGCTAAATTGCCAGCTTGACCTTGCTGCCATCCCGCCTGCATGCCGAACTTTAAGGACCAAGGTGAATGGCGCGAAGCGCCAATGCAGTCTTGTATACATATATAAATATGTATATCCATGCGCCTGTCTATATCTACAACATGTGTATGTATGTATGTATGTATGTATGTATGTATGTATGTATGTATGTATGTATGTATGTATGTATGTATGTATGTATGTATGTATGTATGTATGTGTGTGTGTATGTATGTATGTATGTATGTATGTATGTATGTATGTATGTATGTATATATATGTGTATAAACATATTGTTATACAAAAGCTCATATACTCATGTTTGTGGGGCGCTCCCGAAATTGACTCACCTTCTAGGACCGAACGAGTTGTCATCTCGTCATCGGTGGAAGGCGGCGGAAGGTCAGCGGAAGGCGGCGGAAGTAAAACGGTGGCGGCTCCGTGCGGAGACCGGCGGAAGCAACAGCATTTGCCCCCAGGAGATGGCAACCTTTTTGGGTTCATGGTTTCTGGAGCCGGCCATATATGTGTATAAGGGCGGGGGGTAAAGGCTGCGGTGGAGGAGGACTGCGAGCGCGCGGGGGCTTGCAGCGTGTCGCCACTCGCCTGGCCTCTCCCCGCTCGCTCGCACTGGCCCGCTCCCAGCCTGGGAGAACACGGCCTTGCCTCGAGGCGCGCTCGCCTGGAGTGCGGAGTGCGCGCTGCAGTCTGCGCCCGCCTGCGACCCGCCCGTGCCTGCCCGGCGGTTGCTTCAGCGCTGTGGAGGGGGACGAAGCGGCAGCATGCTTACCAGCCTGGAACATGTCCTTACCCCTGTGCTGGGCACCTCCTCACCACGATGCCAACCTCAGGGCTTCCCTTAATTTTTTGAGGGCGGATCCCTGAGATTGTCATCGCCTCTTGGCGTGCCAATCTCAGGGACAGGGATGCGTTCGAGGCCGGTAAGCATGCTGTGGCCACTTTCGGGGGAGCGTAAGACCCGGGTTTGCCAGGACTCGGGTTCGCCATCGTTTTTTGACGACCGCGCCTCGGATTTTGACGAGGAGGAGTTTCGTGGGATGTCTGCAGCGGGAGGCCTCGTCAAAATGCAGGCTCGGCCTCGTCATTTTTTTGACGACCTCGTCGGGGATTTCCGAGTCCCCCGTACCCGGGTCTGACGTCTCCCCGACACTTGCGCTAGATTGTGCGGTCGGGACTCCTGGAGCGCGCCGCTCCGCCGACTCCCTGGCCCACCGCGCTCCGGCGGGGCACGCTGCCCACGCCCCCGTCTCCGACACGTCCACGTCCCGAGCCCTTTTCTCAGGAGGGGAAAAAACACACAGACACAATTAATCGTCCACTCCCAGGAAAATATGGGAAAATATGGGAAGTGGGGGGGAAGACAGAAACCCAGAAAATATGGGAAAATATGGGGAATATTTTTATTTGTGTGTATTTATTTGTGTGTCCTGGGGCCCCTTCATTTTCGGCCTCCCGCCTCGCGGAGCGGAGCGACGCGTCGTCAGCCCGCAAGGCAGAGCGTGTCGCTGGGACCGCCGCCGCGACGCGCTGGCCAAAAGTTCCGGACCGCGAGAAGTCACGGAGGCTTCCGCTCGCCCTGCATTGAATGTATAGCGGCGGACGGCGTCCAATAGCGCCCAACAGCGCGCGCTCCGCGCCCAACAGCGCCGAATAGCGCTCAATATCAGTATCGCCGAATAGCTCCCAATAGCGCGATGCGAGGGAGATGCGTTGCGTCCGCTTTGCGTGCTATTGGGCGCGCTGTTGGACGCGCCGTTGGGCGCCGCCATGGGGACGGCCGACAGCTTCCGTGAGTTGCTCGCTAAACTTGCGTGCCGCTGTTCGATCACGTACCGTGGGCCCAGAATCATCGATCGGGACCGTGGCGGTCGATCGGGTCAGTTCTTCGCCAGCAGGGGAGCAAGCATGTGGCCTTCCTCCGCGGCGCGCGTCAGCACGTGCGCACTCCTTGGTCCAGGCTGACGTTCTCGACCCGGACCCCGCGCCCCGGCACCGCTCTGGATCCCTGACCTCGGGCCTCGCAAGTCTGCTGGTCTTGGCGCCCTTCCCCGACTTAGTGGGGCACCTGCGAGCCCTACCCCTACCCCCCCATGATTTCTGGGGGGGAGGGTGGGTTTCACTTCGTTCGGAAGCTCCCGAGCGAAGTGAACCCCACCCTCCCCCTCAGAAATCGTGGGGGGTAGGGGTACAGTGCCGTTTTCAGTACATGCTCCGCGTGCGGACCATGTATTAAAGATAAAGGGTTGATTCATAGATGTAAGGATGAGTTTATGCATCCATTTATTCATACATTAATCATGTATTAAAACTCATTTTTCTTAAAACATCCTAGGCATTAAAAGCTGCCCTGTAGGGTTCGCATGTGGCCCCCTGTACGACTTCGGCCTCCCGGGGCCTCTCTCGAGGCCCCCAGCGGGGGAGTGGGGCCGCCTGGACGGGCGCAAGACGCGGCCTCCTCGCCTGGCGTGTCGAGGCTTGTGGAGGACGATCAATGGAGAGGAAGCATGTTGTCAAATGATTCCCAGATGTCGAAAGCATGCGTTCAACATGTTTTAGACATGTAACAACATGTCTGAAACATGCTTGGAGTATTTTCCGACCTTTTCAACACACTTGAAATTCAATGGTCGGATTGCTGGGGTGCCCACTGTCGTGGCATATCCACCAGTCGAGGTGCCCTGCACGAGAGCCTCCCCGGCGCGCGCGCCGGCAGCCTCCGCTCCTGCCTGCCGCGGCCCCCGCGGCCGAGCCCTCGCCTGGGCTGCGCGAGGCCTCCCGGCGGCCTGCGGGTGCCGGGCGCCCGCGCCGCGCCCAGCTCTCGGGCCGGACGAGGAGGGGGGGGGGGACTGGGAAAGGGGGGGGTACGACATCCCCAGACATCGGGCGTCTCGACAAAGTCGAGACGGAGGTGTTTCGTCGTTTTCGGCCTCTCGGGGCCCTCGCCGGGCCTCGGGACCGTCAAAAAACGGCTCGGGATGAAAAAGCGGTCCCGGGGAAGTGGTCGGGAGGTCGGGGGCCCGTGTCCCGAAAACAGCGAGACATCGGACGTCTGGGTCTGCTGCATGCAGCTGGTTTCGGCCCCAGCGAGGGGCCCACTCCTCGATGCATGTGCGCCTCCGGCGCCGGGAGGCGCCGGGAAAATCCGCCACGTGAGCTGATTCTCACTCCCCCCCTTTGCTATCCCCCCCCCTCTCGCCCGGCCCGAGCCTCGCCCCCCCCCCCCCCCCCCACGGCCGCGCCTGCTGCCCTCGCCCTGCTCTGCTCCGCCTCTCCCGCGCCGCCCAGGCTCTCTGCACGCAGCGTTCGCCGCTCTCGGCCCTGCCCCACGGTCGAAGGAGAACAGACGGCGTGAGCATAAACTTGTGGCGCTCCGCGCGGACTTCTTGGATCTGCGCTGGACCCCCACCCCGGCGCGCTCCGGCCTCGGTTGCCAGGAGGCCGGGTGCACCCGGCGCGCGGCCCTTCTTCCCCGCGGCGGGAGCTGGAGGCACGACCGGCCCAGGTGCCTCGCCAGCGGTCCGGCCCTGCGATGGCCAGGCTTGCCCGGCTTCCGCACGCGTGTCCAGCAGCAGCGTGGCATCCCGACGTTCCAGGTGTGGACGCAGCCGTGGGGCCCAGTGGTGCCCGTCGCGTGTCCTGTCTGTGGCGTCTCGTGGTCTCTTCGCGCGTCTCGGAAGAGGCTGCCCGAGGCCTCCTCCTCCTCTGGGTGTGCTCCGCCGTCGGTCCCGAGGGCACTCTGCTTCCCCTCCCGCTGCTCCGCTGTTCCTGTCTCTCTCTCCCCCGGCTGCTCCCACCCTGCTCCCCCGCTGTTCCTGCCTCCTCCGCCCTGGCGGAGCCCACGCTGCTCTCCTCTTCCCACCGCCCCACGCACGCCGTTCTCTCTCTCTCTCTCTCTCTGTCCCTCCCCTTCTCCCTCTACCTCTCCCTCTCTCTCTCTCTCTTTCCCTCTTACTGCCTCTTTGCTCGCTCAGTGGTCGTAGTTGGAGCTCGTCGCGCCCCGTGTCTCTTGTTCGTACCCTCCGGTTGCTTGCACTGGTAATTATTTGTTTTCTTGCTCATTGGGAGCAGAGAGAAGGAGGGGCCTCCTGAAGTTGTCCTTGGCTTGTTTTCAGATGTAGTGTCTGAAGCGTGTGTGTCTTCTGCAACGGTGTATGGGCGTTCTGTAGACTTGGGGCCCCTCTCCAAGCTCACCCCTCGCTCTGTATGTGCTGCCGTGGCAATCTCAGGGCAACAGGTCATGGGTGCCGCTCGAGGTCCCACAAGCGTTATGCGCGATAAAGCGTCGGCATACCCACACGCCCTCCGTTCTCGCTTCCAGATGCGGCAGGCGTTGCCGGAGGGCAGGCGAATGGGTGCTCACTGTCTTCGTTTGCCCTCCTCGCTCTCCGTATCTGGCTTGTCCGTGCCCTGCCATCTGTGGAGCAGACTGCAGAATTAGTGTGTAGAGCGTGTCGGTGTTTGATCGCAGGAGGCCCGGCTCCTGTCGCAACACACGAGCTGAGCGCCCCGCGCTTGGCCCAGCATTCCTCAGGCAGCCGACGCTGCGACCGGCATCTACCCGCAGGCAAGGCGCGCGGAGCGCTGGCGGCCCCCCCCCCTGCAGAGGGGAAGGAGCGAGAGGGATGAGGACGATCAGGAGGGTGAGGATAATGGTGGCAGTGAAGACTCAGGTGATGACGATGAGGAGGAACAACGATTCGAAGCAGCTGCTGGAGAACATACCGGGGATTGATGAGGTTGAGGGTGACGAGGGGGACGAGGGAGGGTGAGGAAGCGGATGTGGAACACGACGAGGCTGATGATAAGGAAGAGGAGGCTGGGCGGGGAGGAGAGAGATGAGGAAGGAGGATGAATTTGCAGGCCTCCCCGCGTCAATCTCGGCGCACCGCTCGCATGCATCGTGCCCCACGGGGATCTCCACCACTTGTGACCCAGACTTTTTCCTCGTCCTCCTCCACCCCCTAACCCCCTTCCCCATGTCCCGCTTGGCCATGCTTCGCAGCGGCGTTGCAGTGCACGCCAACACGTTTCGTACAGTCGGGGCCCTGAAGAAGGAACCCTTTTGGTTGGGGAGGGGCTCCGCGTTCCTTAAGTGTTTCACAGCTTGCCTCAGGTTTTCCTTATGTTTTCGATCGGAAGTCGAAGTTTAACTTATGGAAAAAAGGGGCCTCGTTCCTTATGGGTTCCTTAGGTCAAGGCCCCGACTGTACCCCACCCTGCGCTGCACCCTTTCTGCATCCCCGTGCCTTGTTGAGCGCCTGGCTGCGGGAGAGCGGACCGGACTATGGGCCCCAACGTGCCCCTTTATGGGCCTCACCGCTGCCGTTCTCGACAAGCACAATTGTCCGCATCTGCGGCCTCGCGGGTCGGGCCCCTGGGGCCGCGACCCCGTGGATACGGGGCGGTTGGATCTCAGGAGAAGAAAAAGCACACAGACACAATTAATCGTCGATTCCCCAGAAAAGATGGGAAAATATGGGCAGTGGGGGGGAAAACGAAAATCCAAAAGATATGGGAAACTATGGGGGATATTTTTATTTGTGTGTATTTATTTGTGTGTTCTGGGGCCCCTTCAGGATCTGGAGGTTGGACAGGAGCGTGGTGTAAACGGGTGTGGCGCCAATGCTGAAAAAGTTCTGTCATCTACGATAGCCGCAAGTGCGGTGCATCCCGGCTTCAAACAGCGTTCGCTGTGCGCTGACCGCCTCAAGCAACGCCCGAATTCTCGCTTCCAGCTTCCCCGAACGATCGCAGTTCAATGTGAGCAGCAACGCAAACACCTGTTCAAGGACGCCCGATCACCAAGCACGCAATTTGCGGAAATTCCGAACCGCGAAAAGCGTGATCCCGGAATTTCCGTATCGCCAACGACGTAGTCCAGGAAATTACAGAATTTGGAAACGTCATTGATTCAAGACAAACCATACTCCTGGACATTCCGAAACGACGTTCTGGGAAATCCAGAATCACAGACATCAATTTTGGAAAGTCTGGGATTCCCAGAAATCACGTGCTTGGCGATAGGGTGTCATGCAATGGGCATGTTGGTCGCTGTTCAGATTGGATGGCTGTCGCTTGGGGAGTTGGAATACAATATTCGGACTTTCTTCGAAGCGGCCGACGCAAAACCAACGTTGTTGAAATCGGAATGCAAATCATTTGTGGCTATCGTAGAGAACATCGCCACCTTCAGCACTTGCACCACGCCCCATTCTACCACGCCCTTCTCGACCTCAGATGCCCCGCGCGGACCGTACCTGTGCGGACGCGTGTCCGCGGGATCGCGCCCCAGAATCCAGACCGCGAGCGCGCGGATACGGATATGCTCGCCGCTTGTGACTTGGGCTCCAGGCTGGGGGCCCCTTCGCGTGCGGACCCCCGAGCTACTACGGGACGCACCCGACGCGGACTGCGGCCCACAGAGAGCTCAAGCCTCCTCCCTTCCGCGGCTCGCAGTCCATGGGGAGGGGGGGGGTCATCCCCTGCGCAGTCTCACTGCTCAGTATCGTTTATCCGACCACCGTCCCCATCCTCGTCCCCTTCGAGGCCCCCACCAAATTACCACCCCCGTCGGGGATGCACCCCTCGAAGCCCGAAGGCAACGGCCCATATCCCCATCCAGGGGGGGGGTCAATCGGCCAGTGGGGCCCAGGCCACGCCGCTGGGGCTGGGGATCGGATAGACGATACTCAGCTGCCCATCGACGTTACGATGCCTCCCCTCGGCCGTCGCGGTCTGCGAGATGCCGAGGCTGGCCAGCCACGCCTCCTGGGTCTGACCCCGCCCGCCAGGCCGGCCTGTGCGGCAGAGGGCGTGGGAGACGGCCTCGCGCTCCGAAGTGGCGCCCTCGGCGCCCCACGTTGGGTCAGCGTCGAGGGCCCGAGCTCGAGCACGCGCCGCAGGGAAGCACCACTGAGCACGTCGAGCTCCGCCGTGGTGTTCGCCCTGGTGCGAATCTGATGCGTCCAGCGTGCGTATCAGGAGGGAGACAAAAAACACACGGACACAAGTCATCGTCGATTCCCCAGAAAAGATGGGAAAATATGGGAAGTGTGGGGGGGGGGGGGAAGACAAAAGCACAGAACATATGGGAAAATATGGGGAATCCTTCTATTTGTGTGTATTTATTTGTGTGTCTCAGGGCCCCTTCAACATATCCAGCTGCTCGGCACGCACCCGCACCCCCGTGATCACTGGTTGATCACGGTCATGCCGCGGGAAGGGGGGCGAGCTGACCGGGGTGCGGAGGCCCGGTGCCGAGGGAGAGCCACGGGATGGGCACGACGGAGCGAGTCTCACGAGGGCGAGAACCAACACTTGCATTATTGTGCGACGCAGAGTGGGCGCAGAGGGGGCTGAACATGGGCGACACGGATTCGGGGACGGGGGCCGGGGAGGGCGCGGGGATGCGATTGCAGTGGGGGGATTGAAGCTTTTATACTTGAGTCGGGCCTGTCCCTCTACAGGGGGGATGTTCAAAAATAGGCAAACAATAGTCTGGGGACCATTGTTTGAGCATTTTTTTTTGCCATTTTGGAATATTTTTGGGGTATTTATTATTTTTCGTCGAAGATCCCCCTGTATGGGGGACACGCCCGACTTAAGCTTAGATCCCTTTTGTGGAACATGAGTTCGCTAGTGGAGCCTGCGCGGCAGCCTTGCTCCAGGACGAGGGAGGGCAGGCTGCGCTGCCTGGGCTGTCAGACCGATGAGCTCAGATTCCAGGTCGTTGGCAACCTTTGGGCTCCCGCACGAGCGCCTGCTGCACTGGAGATGACGATGGTCATGATGGTGATGCTGATGGTGCGCATTATGAAGAGGTCGGCGATGCTGACGGTGATGAGGGTGTTTTTATGACGGGTTCCAAAGTGTCGCGACCTGAGAATCCCTCAGAGGCTCCTGCTGTCTTCCACCACCTGTGCGGATCGAAAGGCTCCGCCAGTGCCGCCTTGTGAGAGTCTGCGGCATGCGCCGTGCGCTCTAGCTCGACTGCCGCGCAGCGCGGCTCCCGACGCACTTGGGGCCTCCTCTTGCCACTTGAACTGAGACTCGAACGGTCCAGAGATGCCATCACGTCGACTGAGAGAAGAAGCAACCGCGGCGCTCTGGCGGGCGCCACATTTTTAAAACGGGCCGCCCCCTCTCGCGTGTTCGGTTGTCGAGGACGCCGGCGGCGCATCACCGGCCGCTCCCTGGGAGTTTGTCGAAGTGGTGCGCAGCATCGAAAGTCGTGACGCGTCGCGTATGCCAGCTATCAAATAGCCGTCGGCCCATCCCGCCACCGTGCTTGGGTTTTGGGTCGGAGTCCTCATGGACGCTTCCTGGGGTCTCTCGAGAGGGCTCTCGGGGGCCTCTGCGGGGGAGTTTAGCGGCCTCTTGGGGGCCATCCTGGGGGCTTTTTGGGAGCCTCTTGGGGCTCTCTTGGGGCCTCTTGGGGCCTCTTGGGGGCCTCTTAGAGTCTCCTGGGGGCCTCTTGGGACCGAAAGCTCGAAATGTTCATTCGGGTTCCTCTTCTGGGCGCCCTCGTGGGGCCGTCCTGGGGCCCCTCTTGGACCGTCCCGGGGGCCTTGGGCCGTCTTGGGGTCCTCTTGGACTGTCTTGGAGCCCTCTTGGGGGCTTGTTGGGCCGTTTTGGGGCGATCTCGGGGGCCTCTTGGGCCGTCTTGGAGCGTCGGTAAGCCGAAATGGCGAGAACGCGAACATCCTCCAAAACCCAAAGAAAAATGTCAGATTTTTGTCTCTTGGGGCTCTCTTGGGGGGGCTCTTGGAGGCCTCTGGGGCCGTCTTGGAGGCGTTTGGAGGCAATCTTGGGCGTCTTGGAGCGATCTGGAGCCGTCTGGAGGCTCTCTTGGACCGTCTTGGGACTCTCTTGGACCGGCTTGGGGCGCTCTTGGGTCGTCTCCGGGCTGTTCCGGACCTTGAGGGGCCCCATGGGGAGGGGGGGGTCCGGCGGCAGAGTGGGGCCCCCTCGGAGGGACTTCAGGGAGGTTTTGACCAGGCATTGGCGAAGGGGGCCAAAGATTGTGCCAAACATTCTGTTAGAGAGGTCTCGCACGGCCCAAGCCGCCGGGCGGGAGCGGCCGGATCTGAAGGGCTACGCCCTCTGCTGCCGGCCCCCATGGGTGACGCGGAGAAGGTGTCGGCACCGGTTGTGGCGCTGCGTGTGTGCAGGCCAAGAAACTTGGCGGAGTATTTTTTTTGATTTTCGTATATGGTGAACCCTGGGAGGAGCCCCCCGTTGACGAAACACGGTGGCAGTCAACTCCTGGAAGGTCCGCGGTGGTGGGTGGCGGAGCGGAGGGGGCGCCCGGAGGCCGGGACAATTGCGAACGTTGGGCGTTGCGTAATGGGGGGGTCATAAATGGGGGGGCGGCGAGGGTGGTCCGAAAAGGTACCCAAACGGTGCTTAAACGAGCCCCCTGGGGCTCCGGAGGGGCCCGAAAGGGGCACGAAAGGGGACCGTTTCTGACCCCCCCATTTGTGACCCCCCCATTAAGCAACGCTTTGGGGGGCCACGATCCCCGAAGCTCGATCCTCGAACTCCGATCTTCCCCGGAGGGCTCCC